GGTCAAGTGGATTTCATCCGTGGTGCTGCAATTGGTAATGATGGTCAGGGAAAGCCAATTATTGCGCTACCCTCTATCACAAAAAATGGCCAATCCAAAATCGTGCCTTGTATCAGCGAGGTAATTCATTTTCAACACATTTCAGGCGATTCCGCGGCTAAAAGAGCAGGAATTCACCGAAATCTAACAGTTAGTTCTGCTCTGTAAGTACAGTACATTGTACTTCAAGAAAAGAGCAAGCTGTCCTTGAAAGATGCAGAAATGTCGAGAGCTCGATTTCGCTAGTAGAATAACCAGTTCCACTACAATTCGTTCATTAGTTTCGATGATAAAATGGTACTGGGACAAGTCAGGGAGTAAAAATCACATCAGATTATTTTCGAGCAGTCCTTGAAGGAGTGGACTATTTTCAGCGGGTAATTGCTATTAGCACTTGCTACCGCCTGCTCTATCTCCCAGTGCCGCCGCTCTTGACATAGAGTGAAAACTGGGAAAATTTCATATTTAACTATTTCTTTTTCTTCTGTTTTCCAAATTCATACTTAAAATTTTTCCATTTTTATTATCATTTTCATATTAAGTCGTTTTCGTATTTAAAAATTTAAAAATTTCATGTTTCATATTTAAGGTTTATTTTTTTGAATTTTTATTTACGTACATCTGAGTGAAAAATGATGATGCTTTAGGAGGGCATCTCAGATTCTACGGACAGGCAATGATAGGATATTATACACGGCATCAATACTGCAACTGTGGTCCCACCTCAAATGTATCTGTCATTTAGGGTGCGGGTGTGGTCACGTCGCGAGCACATGTCAACTATGTAGTGACCGAACATGGAATAGCACAACTCTGGGGTAAGAATATGCGGCAACGAGCCTATGAACTGATCAAGATTGCGCATCCGGATCAGAGGGCGATGCTCGAGAAGGCGGCATTCGAAAGACTCAAAGTGATGCCGTCGGCCGACTGAACATCATGACCTGCTCACTTTAGCGTTGCTTGTACCATGTCAGAACGCAGCAGCCATCACTGGCACTCGTTCGATGTTACATGTTGCATTGTTATTACTTTGTCAAAGATATGTGATTACGAGTAGCACTCTGTGACTTCTGCGACTCGAGTCTTGCAGTTGGGGGTGGCAGCCAGGCGGAAGCGTGGCCTCTACTGACCCAACTTTTCCATTTTTTGGTACTTTTAATATCTTGTTTCAAGTGTTTAATAAACGAAACTAGCACTATCAATGCAGTTAATGAGCGTACTGTTGTGATCACAACACGAACAAGATTCGCA